AAGCATAGGGGAGGTAGCTACACAAATACTTTAGCACGGATAGAATCCGTTTGCACGTTCAAACTCGGTGTTAATTGTTTGATGTAGCCCCACAAATTAAACGTTCCTCTTAAAAAATGAAGATAAAAGAAGAAGGGGTGAACTTTCCTTTGAAAAAAGAATTGCATATCCTCTCGCTATGAGACTAAAATTAAGCCTACATGTTGATGACAACTGACAAGACACTCCGTCTTTGACAGGAGATCTTTTACGGCTGCAATACTGCAACGATTTGTAACAGGTGGTTATAGTTATAACAGGTGGTTAGTTCAAGTTTCACCACATAAGATGCTACAAGAAAGTATTCATTTAATCACTTCTGTTTTGTGGTTACAACATTTTAAAGACATTTTTTTCGAGTTCAGACGTTGAAGTCTTTTCTTTTCTAAGGAACTTCTACCCTATTCCTCTTTTGTTATCCTTATTTGACTCCTTTTCCTTATAGATGTCCCGTGATTATCGAAACGGTCGGAAGCGTAGCTACGAAGATGATCCGAAGACTGACCATTACGCCCCGAAACGACGACGAACAGATCGAAGAGAAGACACGAACAGTTCACCTTCTCCAATCTCATTCAAATATTTGGAAGACATTTGTAAAGATGAAGTTCCAGAAAATGCTATTTTAGGCTTAGTTAGGAAAGCTGAGAGGTTCGAGGCGCTTTTGACTTCGGAGGAAATACGACCCGACTTGTTGAAGATGGTTATAAGGGCTTTTCGTTTGCTTTGCTCAACAAACAACCTGGTGGCCAAAAACGCAGAAAACGTGCTTAGGTCTTCCGCAACGGTAAAGTTCTGGACAGGAACAGTTCTTTCGAGTTTCATCGACGACATGCCTCACTCTGATTGCTGGAAAGACGAAAATGACCGCATCCATGTGCTTAATGATCTGATAGAAATTTTTCGTGTCCTCATTCCCACATTTGGTGATAGCTTCGTGAATAAGTTTCCGCTAGCACAGCTTATCGTATCACTGAATGAACTCAAGGAAAAGAATCTCATCCATGATACCGAAGATCTCGAGAGAAAAATCCAGCACCTGAAAGAATTGAAAAATGAAGTGATTCGGCGTGCAAGGTCTGCGCATGATCAGGAACCCGAAGCGGAACCGCCGCAAAGTTTCAGAGAATTAAGTGTCATCCCTCAAGCGTTAGATCTTTTCTCCAAACCCTTCCTTCGCAAGAATGTCATCGAAAGAAAGTTCAATGACTTGGATCATTATCTAGATGTACAGTTTCGCCTCTTGAGAGAAGATTTCGTGAAACCTCTTCGTGATGGTATAAGGCAATTGACAAAGGAAAACAACTCCCTGGAACTGAGCGTTGAAGACACGACCAAACGCACCAACAAGGTCTCGGTTTACAAGAGGGTCAGTGTCCAGTATCCCGTATGTAACAGGAAAGGACTGCTTTACAGAATCCGGTTTGACTTGAAGCATTCCAAGGTAAAGCAAGTGAACTGGGAGAGATCTAAGCGACTGAAGTTTGGCTCACTGGTATGTCTTTCTTCAGATGATTTTAAGTCACTAGTCTTCGCCACAGTAGAAGATCGAAATCCTAAGGACCTTAGTGTGGGCGAATTGGACGTACGTTTTCAAAACGTTGATAAAGAAGAAATAGCTGTCTTTGTCAAGGAGAAAGAAGAGTTTGTCATGATAGAGTCACCGGCGTATTTCGAAGCATACAGACATGTTTTACAAGCAATGAAGAACATAAAGCCTGAAGAATTTCCTTTCCAGAAATACATTGTGGAATGTGTTCATAATGTTGAACCTCCCAAGTATCAGAGAGAAAGACAGGGAGAACCAATCTCGTTAGACTTCACTGCTCTTTGTGGACGTTCCCCTGCTAAAATATCCAAAACGTCCAAAGCTTCTGCTACACGCGCACAGAAGGACGAGTCACAAGTCGCAGGTACAGCCATGAACGATTCCTCGAGCAGTCTGGAAGTTGCAAGGACCAACGAAATCTCCTTCGATTGGCCAGACAGTAAGATCCTTGGCTTCAACGAGTCACAGATGCGTGCGTTTAAATTGGCGCTGACCAAAGAGTTCGCGGTCATCCAAGGACCCCCAGGCACCGGGAAAACGTATGTTGGCTTAAAGATCGCCCAAGCTTTCTTGAAAAACTTCTCCATTTGGCAGAACGGCGAAGGGAACTCTCCAATCGTTATGGTATCGTATACCAATCACGCCCTAGACCAGTTCCTAGAAGGTCTCTTACCAATGGAAGGTAAGCTCAAACTATTTTCTTCAACAGTTTGTAAACAAATATTTAAGCCCTTGGTACTACAATGTACTTCACATTTGAATCTGTGATAGACCTGGTGACCTCCCAACATATCATTATATCCCAACATCTGATCATATCATATCAGTTGAGTTTTTTCATCCTTTTTTTGTCATTTACGACTTGTGGGTGCAAAAAAAAAAACCTAGGCCATACTAACTAGCTGCAGTCGCGAGACACTTCAATTTCTACCTCGTTCGCCAAATTTCGCAAACCGGACATGAAGTCTCGAAAGTGAAAAAAATATCATAAGCAGGACACCAATAGTGTTAGTACAAGAGAACCAATCATACTCTACGAGACAGTAATACCCTCTTCTCTCACTAATGACAGGACACCAACAATGTTAGTACAAGAGAACCAATCATACTCTACGAGACAGTAATACCCTCTTCTCTCACTA